AGCATTTTATTACCACTATATTTGATGTGGATGGAATGTACAGAAAGAAAGATTCTGCATCAAGTTCTGTAAAGTTGAGTTCAGATTCTGGCTTTTCTTTCAAAGCATTAGGAACGCCTCTGTCGTGGTTGTACCAAGACTACTTCTGCATCCTCGGTTAAACTCTACCTCCCACATTGCTGCCCCATGTGCTATTTTTTTTAATCGTTACAATAGTTTTTTTTAGACATCTATTTGTCTTATCCTATGACCTGCTTTCAAAATGAAAATAGTGAGACGCTAAGTTTATTGCACATAGCCAACAACACCCACATGTGTTATGAGGTTGAGAAAGCTGTTTCACTGTTTGCCTCAGTTAAGTACAAATTCTGATTCCTTTTATGTCAGGACAAACGGGTACTTCTACTTAGATGTGTCATCACCATTTAAAGTTGTTTCTTCAGAAACCTACAGCCTTCAGTGTAGTTTCAGGCTACTGGAAAAAATGAAAAATCGCTGTGCCTTTGGATTGCTGCCCTTTGTATTAAATCACACTTGTGTGACTCATCAACGGAAATAGTTACTGGTGAGTAGATGTTGCTGTGTGGCTCAGCTGATGAATGAGCACTTTGTCACAGTACAGCTGTATGTTTGAAGAAACAATATCGCTTTTCCTGGGTGTTCTGTGTCACCCACATCCAAGGTTCTTGAATATTTGGAAAGCTTAAAGTGTGGTATTCAGTCTGACCTAGCTCATTTTGACTTCCTGGTAATCATTCTGTTATGATGTGTTTAAGAAATAAGCACCTAATTCATTTAAAAGTTATTTGTTTCTGCTGCTAAGTTATCAATTGGTTGAATTATGAAACTAAGTGATCTTACATATATTTATAGTCATTTTGCAAGGCATTATCTTTTTTTAATCCAAGGAAAGTCCATCAGAACCCCTGTTTTGCTCAATTATCTTGTTATAGGCTGGATGAAAGTTTATAAAATTAGAGAAAGCATTATAAGTTTTTTTTTCTGTTGCTTCAGCTAACATCTTTTAACTAAAAGGGACAAAATTAACTGTTCATTCGTCTCATTGTTTGTGGGACCTTGCTGTGAATTTCACACTTGCCCTCCAAATGAAGGCACTATATTTGTAAGGCACTTATCACATCACAGAAACATATATTTATAACAAATATCCCAATGCATTTTTCAAGCAGTAAATTACTTTTGAATTGGCAGTCAAACTCATTGTAAGTATTGTGGGATATTTCCACGAGAAGATTTAGCGAATATGCCTTTGTCAAGGTCCCCTATGAGCAACTGTTAAAGAAGGTAAAAGCAGGTGGGATTCAGAGTAACTTGGCAATTTGCGTCCAAAATTAGCTTAGTGGCAAGAAACAGGGTGGTGGTAGAAGGCTGTTTGTGTGACTGGAGGCCAGTGTCCCTGGTATACTACAGGGATCAGTTCTGGGTGCCTTATTTTTTTTTTTGTGACATCAATAAACGGTGTAGATAAGGGTCTGAGGAGGTTGCTAAGTAAATTTGCAGACGACCTGAAAATTGGCTGGGTGGTTGACCATGAGGAGGAAGGTCTTAGGTTGCAGGAGGATATAAATGGATAGGTCGGATGGACAGATCGGTGGCCGATGTAATGTTTAATTTTGATAAGCATGTGGTGATGCACTTTGGGAGAAGTAACAAGACAATAGAGTAGAGATAGTAGGAACTGCAGATGCTGGAGAATCCGAGACAACAAGGTGCAGGGCTGGATGAACACAGCAGGCCAAGCAGCA